ATAAAATAAATTCATAATTATAATAAAGGTCAATCAAATGGACCAATATGGCAAGGCCATGAAGATCCACTTGGTAAAATAAATCCGCTTGGCATCTTTCTTGGCCTCAAGACAACAATTCTGATGCTAAAGATCCAAACGGGACACAAAAAAAAAAGAAAGCATTGATCCATCCTGCCTTATGTCAACGGTTCAGGCTGCTTTACTGCTTTAGATGCAGTAGTGTGGGGATATTTTCTTGGCACACTTTGGAGCGCTTAGCACAAACACAGTAGCTTACATGAGATTGGATTTTGAACATGTCCATCCCTTTATGCCCACCGTGTACCCATCTTTAAATGGCTGCTTAAAGTGGGATAGCTTATTTTGTTGTGCAGGACAATGAGTTCACTGCACTCAGATGGTGTCCACAGTCATCAGATCTAAATCCAATAGAGCAGCTTTGGGATTTGGTTGAACAGGAGATTGCAACAGGAACAGGATGTGCAGCTAACAAATTTCCACAATAATGTTTCCAGCAACCTGCTGATTCTGTGCCATGAAAAATTAATTACAAATGAATTAAAATACGTTTTTCTGGAAGTTCTACTTCTGCTATCAACGTTGCTGTTGTAAACATTTCATAGTTTTCAATTCAGAATTAATTTTTATTAAATATGTCTCTGATTCCAATCTTTGTCCTCTCTCAGCCTTTTCCCTGACATCTAATATATCTAAAATAATTTTAAAAAACATATTTGTGTTCGTGGTAAATCATGTATTTCTCTCTGACAGCAATGAGAGGACGCTGAAGAAGTACGACTATGTTTATGATAAAAGAGTGAATTCTTCTGATAGAAATGACTGGGGACTGTGTGGTCCTAAGGTGGAGTGCAGGATTTATGCAGAGTTGATTTACTGCAAACTATTCAGCCATAGAAACCAGCTGACATGTGTGATGGGTAGTATTTTTTTTCTTTCTTTTACCTTATGTCTAAATTTTATTTTTCCATGTTTATTATATTTTATTGCTGCTATTGTTCTTGTGTTATTGTAAGGTGACCTTGAGGGTCTTAAAGGCACCTATAAATAAAATGTATTATTATTATTATGTATTTTGTTCATGTACAAAATCCCAGCATTATTTTCGAGCAGGAATCTGTTGGGCTCAGTTCTAAATACTCAGGATGAGGTCTGAATTAAGAGATACAGGACAGAGCCCCAGTTTTGGCACTGTGCTCACAGATTTGAGCCATCTGACTTGTTCCATTAACATCACTGCCTCTCATTACAATAAAGAAGTACATCTAAAGCATAACTATAAAACAATAGATGCTGTTTGGAGTTAAATTTAGCAGAATTTGCAGTAAATTGCCTGCCACAAATCTCAGTAACTCCCGTGTGTGTGATTCATTACACTTGGAGAAATAAAGGAGCAGATGAGCTTTTCATCCGGGGAAACTCAGAGTGACTGCAAAGTGTTGCCAATATTTCTGCTGCTAATAAATAAGACATTGATTAATTACAGACCTTCCCCAGTCTAAGGGTTAGGGTCTGTCTATGTGTAATCATCTGAGACAGCAGAAAAAGAATAAAAATGAAAAATCAGAGAAATCAGTTACACACTGCCAGGTTGTTGTGGTCACATGGAGCTTGCCAACCTATTCTCCCTTAAGTGACTGAGGCCAAATAGATCAGTTAAAGTGTTACCTGGTGAAAAACTCTTTTAACACTTAGACATAACTCATGTTGTAGCTAAGTGTACAGTGTATGGAATCACAAAAAGAAAGAAATTTGGATTATTGGGGACTTTATTGAAAGGCAAAAGTATAAAAGAGAATGAAACAGCAACACAATTTTACAAGTCATAATTCCAACACATGTGATCTGAACATCACTGTTTAACTCATAAATGTTTACATAAGAGAGCAAAAGCCCTTTAAAATCCCTAAATATGAACAGAAAGCATTTTCAAGAAAATATCACACAGAAGAATATCAGAAGCTCAATTTAAACTAAATCAGATAACAAACCAAAGATTAAAACTTTTTAGACCAAAAACACAAAAGAAACAACATAATTCTCTTTTTTATTTGAGAATAACCTCAAAGACATAAATTATAACCACCCTAGGTCTGGTTAAAATCAACACAAAATAGTTTTAAAGAAATGTACAAGCGGTTTATGTATAAAATTTGGAAATCCACTGTGATCCACTTTGTTTGTTTGTTTGTTAATTAGTTAGTTAGTTTATTTGCTTGTTTTAATCAATTTTAAATCATGCTTTTTATTTGTTCTTGTTTCTAATGTCTCTGTAAAGCACTTTGAATCACCTTGTTGTTGAATTGTGCTATACAAATAAACTTGCCTTGCCTTGTGATCTGAGACTTTGGCATAAGTTCATGGATGTCTAACATTGGTGTTATTTTATCCCTCTACTTGATTTACATTTTCAAGAAATTAAGTTAAAAAATGATTTAGAGAGGTAGAAGAAGCCAAATGGAAAATATGTGTTTAAAGCATAACTGAGAAATCCTGCTAATCATAACAGTTCAGTGCCCATCCATCCATTTCCTGTCTGATTACTGAGAGCTGCAGAGGACTGGAGTCATCCACAGATACTCATCAGTAAAGGGAAAACATCGGTGTTAATACATTTGTATTTGCTATAAACAGTAATTTAGTAATTTATGGATTTAGAGAATACCCCAACACCAGCAATACTAAGCTAAAAATATATTTATTTATTATTTATTTCCAATGAACAAAAATATTTTAGACTGCTGTGATGTCTTTTTTAAAACATGTGGTACTTCCCTCCATTGGTGTTATATTTATCACAGAAATCCCCCTTCCTAATTGGGAAGTCTCAAAATAAGGTCACCATTTATGTTATATTTGTTAAATATCTGCCAATTCATGTTTAAATTTATTTCCCCAAAATGTAAAGTAATTAAGATTACAAATAATTGTAATTACTTTTAATGACTAATTTGAACAAGTAATTTAAACTGAAGTAATGAATGAATAAGTAAGTGCAACTAGTGCAAAGTTTTTTCCAAGTCTTCAGTTTGATGAATTGAAGAATTTAGTCCCACTTTATGGAGGAGAATCATGTGACAATTCCTCTTTTTTGAGTGCAATATATCTCCATAAACCTGCAGAAAAAAATTAACAACATTAAGATTTTATAAAACAATGATTTAGAATAAATATCTGCCACATATTTACAGAATCATTAACAACTAAAAGAACTTTGGTTCAGTCAAATATTTGATTAGTAAACTTTGTGAGCATAAACATTTGGTTAAATCTTGCACAGTTTTATTATACATTAGTTAATAAATAGTTCATTAATGTTGTGTTGTCACTGTTTGTACTTGTTAAAATGTAAGTTAATGTTTAACTGGCAAACAGAAAAAAAAACAACTTCCTTTTAACAATATAACTTACTATAATTTGACTTTTAGAGTTTTTATGAAAAGTAACTGAAAGCCAAGTATTGGTGCAGCTACAATGTGTTAGCAGCAGTTTAGCACATTTCAAGGCAGCTTTGTTTAAACTGAAGTAACTCACTGTGTGGAAGGTTGTTTGTCATTTAGGCTGTTGGATCAGGATTCAGTGGCACCGTAACCGCAGGATCCTTCATAGCTGTAAAAGGCCAGAAACATGTTGTTAGTCCACATCCTGTCTGAACTGACAAGTATTCAGAAACAGTCCTGAAAAAGTTATTTACCATAAAATACAGAAAAATACTTATATAAGAGATAAGAGAAAACAGACACTAGTTTTACTTACGAGGCTGGGAGCATTTGCCTGAAATAAAAGAGAAAATAAAAATAATTTAACTCTTATAGTTATATAAGTTATTTTATGTGTTTGTCATATTATAATGTAATTCACATTTCCATGACACTGTGCCTTGTGCTGCTTATACACTTTTAAATGAAAGCATCAACTAAAAATATGTTTTTCCTGTTTTTGTCACTCACTTGTTTTCTTTTTGTAGAGAAGGATCCCAATCACAGCGGCGAGAACAACAACCACAGCAACAATAGCAATGATCATGATAAGGTAACTTTCTGTAGATAAGCAACAAACAAATCACAATCAGAAGCAGTTTAGAAGAGAACACCATTTTTCAACTAGATAAAAATACTGGAAAAAAATATAAATAAAATAAAAGACTGAAACAGGCTTGCAAACTTTTTTCTATAAGCACAAAAATAAAGAAATGTTTAAATACAAAGCTCAACAAAAAGTATGTTAATGAGGTTCTGTATTTATCAAAGCACAGTAAACAGTGAATGGACAGCAATGAGCAGCTGTGCTGGATAAAAATATCTGCATTACAGCACTTTAAAAACATTTAATTGGGAAAAATTAAAAGACAAGACACTTAAATATGTGGATTGCACAACCCTGGACATTACATTTCTTTCATTACCATTTATTACTCGTACAGCTGCTCTTATTGTTCTATATTTCTTCATATATTCTTATATATTTTCTATATTGTGTATTTTGTTGTACAGTTATTTTATTTTTAACTTTAATTTTTATATTTTATTTTATTCTTTCCTAGTTAAATTTACCCTTCATTTTAATTTTCATATTTATTTCCTATCCTATTCATAGTCTTTTATTTTAGGTCACGAGCAGTTGTCTAAGCATTTCACTGTATATCGTACTGTGTATGACTGTGTATGTGACAAATAAAATTTGAATTTGAAAATATTTTAGGAAGTTAGCACTCACACAATGATCCAAGATTGGACACATGTATATTTGTATAACATATCAGTGTTATAGACTGAAGAGGAACATAACTAACAGATAAAACCACATGAACTGCAGGACTCTTAAAATAAAGAAAATGTGTATTTTTAACTTTAATCACTTCTGATTCCAGACTTACTTTCATTGGTCTTGATGTCTGATTTGTCCAGTCTGGTGACGATGTCCTCGTTCACACCAGAGAGCTGAAACACACATCTGTATCTGTCCCAGTCTTCAGGTTTGACTGATGAGACATCCAGGTGAACACTCATCTGGAAGGTCCCGTCATTGTTAGTGATGACCTCTCCTTTGTTCACACCCTCATGCAGCTCCATTCCATCTTTCTTCCAGACCATCTCGGCTTTGTTAGGATAGAAACCTGTAGCGTGGCAGGTGACCGGAGAGGAGGAAGACTTCTGGAGGAGAGACACTGAGGGACGCTCTGGGCAGGAAAGCAACAGTTTTTAGTTCATTAACAGCATACTAATATTATTGTTTCTGTTAAGTTTGAATGCCTTTGTTGCATAAATTAATGTATATATAATCAAAATGTAATTAAGAAAATGAAGGATAGAGAAAAAAGACCTAAAAAGAGACACAAAGAAAGTGAATAATTCTAAACGAATGTGTGAAGGTTTTGAATGACAAGACAAATAAAAGAAATGGGGCAGGCAAAAAAATGAAAAAGAATTAAGATTTAAATGAAAATAATGTGTGAGAGTTCAGAAGAGACAGGAACAGAGTGATGAGAAAAATTTTTAAAAAAGGACAACAGGAAAACTGAAGCAGTAGGATGTTATTCTCATGACATAGCTTATTACACAAATCTGGTCATTTGATTTTACCTGTTCTCATCAGAGAACTACTCCCGTAGTTCACATACTTCTTCATCCACTCAGGACACTCAGTGTTGAGGTAGTTCTTAAAATATTTGGCATCAGCTTTGGTACTGTCCCACTTTTGTTTGCTGATTACAGCCTGTTGTTTTGCAGCAGTCCAAGTCTCTGTGGGAAGGTCAAGGGATAAGAAATCTTCTCCATCATAGCCATACTGGAAATATCCACTGAGCTCCTTAGTCTCATCATCCAATTCACAGCCATACATGAACTGAAAAGTGTGAACACCTGAAAGAAAAGAATTAGATTGGAATTGCCCACATTACAATAACAGAAATGGACACTCGTCTGTTAACATGAACACTTGACATGCCATAGGAACACACTATTACACTGACAACAAAGCAGATGATCTACACCTTTGGCTGTCTCAGCCTTAAAAATCTCTCTAGAATTTTTAAATTTGGGACCAACCACTTCACATTAAAAAATTTAAGGGTAAGTGAGTTTGAGAGAGTCTGAGAGCATAACTCTACAAAAGCTGAATGAAAAGTAAATATCATGATATTTATTGTTTAAAATAAGGTAGTTATCTTCAGCACTTGAAGGTTTTCTCCCATGAAGCTGAAATATGTCCACTCTGTCTGTCTAGGATTAAGGTTTTACAATTACAAATTAAAGAAAATAAAAAATCATTTCCAGGTGTGCTGAGACTCAAGGTGCAACAATGCACACTATGTAAAAAAACTGTGAGCAATTTTCTTACTTAATGAGAACACCAGACTAAATATGCTTTATCTATGAGCATGTTTTACCATTTAAAAAAAAACAAAAAAACATCGCTGCTCTAAAAGCCACAAGAAAAGCTTCAGTGGGTCACCACAGTTATTTTGTTTACATTACCATGTAGAATTATATGTGTGAGCCCGCAGGGCGAGGTGTGGTCATGTTATTTGGTATCTCTGCACTCTGGATGATTTTGGAGACATTTTGTTTGACAGAAAGTTGATTAAAGTAGAGGATTTAGTCACTGTGAGTTTTTTGGGTTAAAGTGAGGAAATGTGTCGATTTAAAGAGGACCGGAAACTGCACATTTCACAGCTTTCAAACTAAATTAAGATCGTTGTGATTTATTCTGAGAAAAAGGTTTGAGTCAAAGTGATTCTTGTTTATAGTCTTTAACTCGCTGTCATGTAGTCGTTACATCACTCATTACATCACCAGTTTGGATGGTTGGGAAGCACTCCCAGGAGTGCAGCGCTAGAGGTGAGCTTATCAAAAACAGGAAAATGAAGTTGACAGATGTTTTGATGCCCCGCCAACACACCTTTTTTGTTTTGTTTTAAAGAGTTTTTAAGTACCTGTTGGAATTGTTAAAGTTAATTTTTCTGTTAATACACACTTAAACAAATGTGGTACAAAAAAACATTCAACATATACTGAAACTGAGATTTACCTTAATTTTAAAATGAGACAAAATCAGTGTGAAATGAAGAGAAATGTGATTTCTCAGCTTGTATTTTCTGTCCCTTGGTTTGTTTCCTTCTGTTGGTCTTTCTGCTTCTAGCACTGTTTTATGTTTTTTGAGTCATTAGATATTTATCATTTTTATTTAATTTGCTGTAATCCAGCGTTGGACTGAAATAATAATTTGCCCCATGAATTTGACTCCTGGCCCCTTTGGTGTTTTTCAGCTCTGTGACAAGATCACGTTTTTCTTCTAAAACCATTGAAACATTCACATTGATGATATTATTGGATGTGGAGCATAGCTGATGCTCTGATGAGAGCAGACAGTCTACAGATTAGGACATCACGAGGACTTGTTCCTGCTTTTATAATATCGCTACTCTCAAAGCCACGAGAAACACCTCAGTGCATCATCAGATATTTTCTTTATTTGAACATGCAGAGTTACAATCAATACAGGCCAAAATTTGCCACCTTTCCAACCCCTCTGGTAAAGAAATGATGTAAAAATCGCCCCAAGAATTAACGAAAAGCACACTAGAACTTCTTTGATCGGAGTTTAACTACAGTGGATGAGAAACACGGGGAGGCCCCGCATAGTTTAAGAAAACGCGTCACAGCTGTCACTGAGCGCCGGGTAAAGCAGCTCAGTGACCGAGCAAGAGCGCTGTTTTTTCCTGCAGCTCTTAAATGTCGCGCACACCCGTGATGTCTGCAGCGTTCAAAGACCCCGCCAAAAATGTCATTTTTTTCGCTGCTCACATGAAGGCTTTCAAACGCCGCCCGTTGGCGCTAAATACGGTGTCCTGGCGGGGTTTTCTCCAACCTTTACTGCGTCCTGATTTATTAAAAGGCGACTTTTACATCATTTAGTAACCAGACAAATTGGAAAAGTGGCAAATATTGGCCTAGACGACACCACGGGGCTGTAATCATGTAATTATGTCTGTACTGTGGATGAGTTTGGAGATGAGCCTCAGTATTTTTAATTCAGTTCGTCTCATTTATTTTGTACGAGGGAAAGTTGATTAAAGTTGTTTACTTGAGGATTTAGTCGCTGTGAGTTTTGTGGGTTAAAGTGAGGAAACATGTCGAGTTAAAGAGGACGTGAAACAGCACATTTCACAGCTTTGACACAAAATTAAGAGCGTTGTGATTTATTCTGAGAGAAGCTTTGGATTCAAAGTGATTCTTGTTTATAGTCATTTTCCTGCTCGCTGATTTGTGGTCGTTACAGCACTCATTACGTCACCAGGTCGGCTGGTTGGGCAGCGCTCCCAGGAGAGGCGAGCTCATCACAAACTATAAAATGGCGGAAGACGAAGCCGACAGCTGTTTTGACGCCCCGCCCACACACCTTACAGCTCACGCTTTGGAGCCAGTGAGGAGGAGAGAGAGTGACCACAGGAAACAGCTGAGAGGATCAACAGGTGGAGCGAGCAGGTGAGGAGAGGGCGAGCGACACCATGTGACGCGCGGACGCTGCAGGGAGACGGCGAGCGAGTCGAGCTGCTGTCAGGAAGCTGCTGTGGATCCAGCAGGTGCTGACGGTCTGACATCTGAACGTCACAAAGTCGTCTCTAACCCGTCGCCTCCTTTTCTTTCTGAAGTCTGAAGGTTAGAAAACGAGCAGCTGCACCACCACGACTCAGAGGTGAACTACACCGACTCCACCTGACAAAGATCATTTACTGATCGACAGTTAGCGTCCAGTTTGTTTCTGCTCTCATTGTAGCTGCAGAACAACGATGACGCTGGACTCAGTTACTGATGAAACACAATCAGGCTTCAGGCACAAACACACAACAGAGTCAGACTAGTTTGAGATCATCTGATTATCCAGAGATGCTGAACAGCAATGATTCGTCCTGTTTTTAGACTTCAACACAGCCTTTGATACACGGAGCCTCGTTTCATCTTTCAGCCTTTAAACTCATTTAGTTTCAGTAATTATTTCTCTACATCAGTCAAAACTCTACACAAACAGTAGCAGCTGTAATAAACTGATGGCTGCTACATCCACAGATTTAACCTGCATGGAGGAAGAAGACGAGGCGGCTCCGCCTCTCTGCACCTCTTCCTGTTAGTGTTTTATCAGACGTGTAAAACCAGGTGATGTAAAAGGATCTGCGTCACTGGCAGAGAGTTAATCGCAGCACCGCTGACGACACCGCTCTGATTTAGACAAATAAAGATGGAGTCTGAGCTGCTGCAGTGAACAGTTTCTCCAAAGCTTCCAGATTTGACCTGAATATTAATAAACGTGAACTCATCACAGACGCTCCAAATCTGACCTTTGGAATATCTCCATGAAACAACAGCTTCCATATTTAAGAATATGAATCACTGAGGATGAAAAGAATGAATCTAAGTCTGATCCCTCCTACAAAAAGAGTTAAAAACAAATGCAGCTCTCTCACTGAGAGGAAGCGTTTTGACTGAAGCAGGAATCTCTGGTGTCCCTGAGGCAGCGTTGGCTCGACGCCGCCATAATAAACCATCAAAGACGCTGACAGGCTGCTCTTCAGCTTCATGTGGACGAACAGGAGACGTCACATTAGAAAAACAGCTCGTATGAACTCGATGTAAACGGTGGGCTGAATGTTTCAGATTTCCACGCTTTAAACAGCACATTTAAGATAAACTGGCTCAAACAGCTGATCAGAAGCCCCGCCTCCATCCTGAGCGCTACACCTGTTCGTTTCCTCTCTGAGTCGCTGCATCGAGTTTTTCTCGTGTGTGACTTTGCGGATGAAATCCCTGCGAACACGTCGGCCTCTCGTGGCCGGGCTTCCTCGTCGCAGACTCTCGTCTACAAACACAGTTTGAGCCTCGCAGTTATTTTATGTGGAACAACAAGGATGTTTGTCCACGAGGAAATCTGTTTTTCTGGATATCGGTTTGATAATATGATGATGTTGGTAAATCAGCTGTTCCACACAGACGCTGAGCTGCTCTCTGTGAAGAACTCCAGCTAAACATCATCTGTGGCTCCAGGAGATGATGTCACAGCGTTTGGTGCTGTTTAAATATCAGCAACAGTTCAGACTCAACATCTGTGCTGTTCTCTCTGTGACACACTCCCACTGGGAAAATAGGTTTTTACTGGTGGCTCTGAAAATAAAAACAAATCTATTGGATCTTTATTCCAGAGAAACACGAGCACGTGACCAGATGCAGTTTGTGTTTGGAGCCGTTTGGTGGATGAAACCTGCAGCGACCTGATAAGCATCTGATTACCAACAAAGTTCAAGAAGTTTCTTTGAACTCGTTCATAGAATTGACCTGAAAACGAGCTCGAAGCTGGACTGAAAGCAGACGCTGATGTGAGCTGGAGTTTCTGGAAGAGTCGGCCAGAAGCTGTCGCACGTTTTGCTTTTTGCACTTTTGTTCAGAACTTTTGGTCGAATCTGTGAAGCTTCTGTTGCAGAAAATCTTCTAAAGGTTTTGATTTATTTTGGAAAGATGTTTTATTTGCTCTGAAAACTGAGCGCGAACAAACTAACAGCACCAGCAGAGATGTGATGGACCTCGTTGTTTTATGGGCAAAGTTTCACGTCCATCACAGCGAGGATACTGGGATCACAGCGAGGATACTGGGATCACAGCGAGGATACTGGGATCACAG